CTTTTTCTAAGCAAGTTTCGAGTAATAAACAAATGTGAGGTTTTTAATTTTCGGGGGCTCGATTTCGGCTAATTCGAAATCGCTCACATAAATGCCGCACTGTTTTTGTCAATAGAAGAAACGCTTTCGCATAGACAAACACTTGAAATCAAACTGTCAACTTTCACATAGCTTCAGCCGCGCTGGAAAACTCGTATTTGACCTACTTTATCACATCAGAGCTTGTGCTTTTTGCCTTTGGCGCTGCCATAGAGGTGCCTGTGKAAGCGCGTTCGTATGCTCATCATTACCAATGCTGGATGGGTSCCACAATTGACAGTGTCGCCCATGTGCGGTGAACGCCAGACCACAAAGCCGAGTTCCCAAAGTGCGAGTGTGTATGTGTGTGCGCGCCGTTGACTGCTTTGTGCTTGCGGGGGCATATGCACTCCGCGCGCATGCGAGCACATAGCTAATTTCACAACCGTCAATGCATGCCCGCGCTCGAAAGTATGCTACGCTAATGCGTTTTTATGCGCTTAGCTACTTTTAACTTCACGCCTCAACGCTTCGACGCTTTCATCACGCCGCCGTGGTGGTTACGAGCGCGTTTCCCGCACTGGCTTGCGCTGCTGGCTGTTGCCTGCTTGTTAATTTGTCGCTGATGGATTCGTAATTGTCGTGACTTCACCTGCTGAAAATACACCGTCATGTGTCGGATTGATGACGGTGTTTGCTGGTGGGAATGCGAGGCGTGAGTYCATCACAATTTTAATTATCACATGCTGTCGCCCACATGGCTGCGCTGCAGTTTTTCCGTGCTCTTTGACCTCATCGAGCATGTACTCGTATGTGTATCTATATCTTTGCATGCTTGTGAAATGTTTCCGCTAAAATYGTCCTGTTGAAATGTATGCTTGCAATTCAATGCTTTGCTTTCCTAGTTTCCAATTTATAGTTCGCCGTTTCAGCTCTTTGAGGTTGCTCACAACAATAACAACGATCGAGTTAAGTGCGCATTTGATTTAACCGCTTTTCGCTTAACTTTTCCTCTGACCCCTCACTGTTGTTGCTTTAGCCCGTTTGAGCTGAGATGACTTGTTTGCGGAAACGGCGTTTTTCTTCCACAAATGAAATAGTTCGAGAGTTGAGTCCTCACCGCCATTGAAACTAGATATGCTTCCACAGCTACACGAGTATATATYTTACATTACATGTGAAGGAGTCCGTGGTGACAGCTAAAATCGCCTATCTGCCATTCTTGGTCTGTTTGACTCCAATGCTAAGCTTTACACCGCTCAATTTCATTTTGTCTTTCTTCTGCCTTAAGTTTCTGCCAACACATTGACTCAGCATCTAAGTACATTATCTCTTTTTTGGCTAGAGTTTTCGCAAAATGTTTTCCTTTGATTGAGAATTTGTCCGGACTRAAGAATTTTCGAAGGAAACCTCATTTTTCGATAATTTTGTAAGGAAGAATTAAAGATGGGAAAGAAAATTTTAGATTTCCCAYTGATTTTCTACATGCTTACTACAGAAATGGTTGTAACGGCTACATCTAAAGAAGAACTGAGACATCAGTTGTTTGGAAATCAGTCAATTTGTCGCGAAAAAGCTAAGAAATTGTCTAATTGTGTGAGTTTGAGCCGAGTAACGCCGTAATCTCTTTGAAACGTTGCTAACGGAGACATATGAAAAACCTTTTCCTTAGAGCTACAAATTTGAATAATGAACTTGGATGAATTTATGATACAGCAGGTTTTGAGTCAGTAATTTAATTAACAGAAGATGTACTGTAATCTGATCTAAATTCGCTAAGCAACATTTACTTATATTGAGTGTCCAGTGTACTGCTACAGGGTGTATACAGTTTCATCTAGCCTCAGAGATTGTTAACTGCCAGTTGTTTCATACTCAATAAGTCTTGCAAGAAATATTTAGTCTTTAAGGCAGTAGTCGAAGTAAAGTAAAGTAGTTAATAATTCAATAGAGGATAATTTGTGCTTCCTCTGCCTATCTACAGTTTACGAACGAGAGATTAACATACATATTGGCATTAAACAATTTCGCATTAAGGTMTTCTTCTTCTTCAATACAAATTTATCAAATTATTCTCTGTCGGATGACCATTGTACCAGGTGAATATAAAAAGCAGTAGGTAACTGCCAGAGTACYATAWGCAAATGTTATTGTTYCTCATTAACATTTCGCGCTGTTAAWGAACATAACAGCCGTGATTCATTTGATGCCTTGTTGTAACCCACGGTGATTATGCTATACAAATAAGGAAGAGATAAAGCAAAAATAAAAATGTAATTTATTGTTGTCTCRAGCTAAGRAATGCAARAACTGTTAGTTTTAGTATGAATTGAGAGACAGCAAAATACAATAAAGTAATATATTGTTGTGCTGCAGCAGTGTCGAAAAAGGCAGGGAGTAGTGTTGTTTTGTTTTACTAAAGTTGTTGTCCTTTCTTTATGCTATAAATTCACATGCTAATTTTACTCTCTTGATGTAATTTTTTTTTCAGACCTATTAACTACAAAATCACAACAACCATAGTGAAATATAATTGAATCCAAAAAACCATGTGATGAGGAAAACCAGATGAAGGAAAAATAATGAAGACTAGTCGCTTCGCGGCTCCAATTATCACTTTTAACCAACAAAACAGCGACTTAGAAATATAATTTCCATAACGTGAAGTAGAACCAACCACCACAGGGATCTGAAGCCAACAATATAAAATTGAAAACGATCAACATAAAGCCTTGATAAAGATCGTCTGATAGCGAAGATACTGCAACTTTGGAAATTATAATTTAAAAATTATCCAATCGACCGACTCGCATTACATAATTTATTTAAACTATTTGTACTAATTGTAATTTTTTAGCTACCAGGCGAACATAAAAATTGCATGTGAATTTACAGAATACACAAAAAACAACAATTTCAGCAAAATTAACAACAGGAGTGTTGCCATTGGTGGCATATGAACTTTCAGCGCAACAATAAAGTAGCACTTGTAAATTTTTACTAAAACCTAACAGTTCTCGCATTCCTTAACTTCTGACAATAATAAATCGATTTTTTATTTTCTTTTGGTTGTCTCTACCTTATATACAGGGTATACCAAAATGAAAGCAAGCTTTAAATTTGCTACCAYTTCAAAATCTCTGCASAGTTGACGAATGTAAAACGCCAGTCCGATCATATTTGATATGAAATTTTTGAATTGCGGCCGCCAAGCTTTCATTATTTTTTAAATATTGTTCAATAATTTAATCCATGTTTACTACGCTTAAGCTGTCAGCTGGCAATTAATTTTTTGCCAATTTTTTTGGTTGTCAACACTTTACTGCATAAATGGCAGCAAACTTAAAACTTGCTTTAATTTTGGCAGACCCTGTATTTAATTCTAACCTTGCGTTAATTTTGCGCGCCTGGTGCAAATGAATTGCCTCTACATGTTAGTTTGGGTGCGTTGGCTGAACGAAATGTATGAGTAAATTGACCGAATGACTAGGCGCACATAAAATCCAGGAAGGCTACAACAATGCACACTATGCAAACATTGGCGACACAGCGACCYCCTCATGTTGCTTAACAGCATGCTGCCATGTTAATTGCAGTGCTCGTTTAACATAATTAGCGTTTACATACTGCTGTTTATGTTTGCCTGGTACTAATTGGTAATTTTATAATTTTAGCGTCGGGCAGATTCCATAAATGACCACAGGGTGCATCGAAGGAAATTATTTGGGTTATATTAGTTTTAGAACTTCAGGATTTTACTACAGTAATTAATACAAATATATTTATRAGAATGGAAGGAAAGCGTTTTGAATGATAATTACAAAAATATTAAACSACAGAATTTTTATTCGAATTTTATTCACCAGTTTATAATATTCAACTACATTTATSTGTATACTATTTAATATTTATTCTCTTAACCTTGTAATAAATGATTCAAAATTATCTTTGTGAAATAAAACAATTATTTTAGATTGCTTATGATTTCTTTCTTTTTATTTAAATAAAATCAATATATGTATAATAGCCATCAAGGCTAATTTAATTCCCATAACACTTTGAGCAGATTGGCAGTGTTGCTGGATCACTATCGAATGCATCGCTTTTCGACCAAATCGGCTTAGAATTATTTTCATACTGTGGAAACTGTAGTGCTGGCAAATTATTGACTGTATCATGTTCACCAAAGAGCTGGTAATTCTTTAGCCTTCGTGCTCCGGTCTCAACAAGAACCCACTTCATCACAATAGGTGTATTTTGAAAATCTTCGCGCTGAAATGAGAACTTTGCAGGCAATCAAACAGAGGAAAACGATTAAATATAATTAAAAGTAGCAGTTAAAATTTTAAATAAAATAAACACAGAATATGCAAAGTAAAGTAAAGTTTGGTTTTATTAAAAAAGAAAAATAAAAAGGTATGTTAAGAAAAATATAAAAATTTGTTACCATTTGCTTTATGCTATGTTTTTTTGTACCCGGAAATTGTAAACAAATATTTATTTTRTCGCCTTCAATGTAATCCCCACCRCAATCTTCGAAACACTTTTCATAAACACYTTTTGGGCTGGCCTTCAGTTCCTTCAGCGATTTTTGTTGTAGTTGGTCRATGGTATTAATTGCGWTTTTGGGTTTAAATTCGGTCACAATCGTCTCTCTTTCCCACCATTTCGATGATTGTTGACTTATTTGTATGTCAAACTCATAAACCCATGTCGCATCGGCAGTTATAATGCTCTCCATGAATGTGGGATCTAAATTCGTACGATCAAGYATGTCCTAGAAGARCTGTTTTTGGTACTTTTTTTTGAAAAATATTCAGCTTWATTGGGTCGAGTTGAGCAAGAACGCATTTTGTACCAAAAATATCCATCAAAATCATACCAACAGACTCACGAGAGGTGTCGAGCTAGCTCTCTTGCCATCTCKCTAACACTTGTATGACGATTTTCAAGCCACGCATCCTTCACTTTTTTTAATATTTTCATCAGTTGAAGTGGTCGATGGTCGTCCAGAACGAAGTATGTCTTCAACGATCTCTCGACGAAGTCTTTGGAGACTTCGTACCACTCGTATGCTTGTGTGTTTGATAAAACTGAATCRCCGTAAGCATTTACCAACATCTGCAATGATYCCGCACACGAAATTTRGTTCGRAATAAAAWWTTTGAGACAAATTCTTTCTTCGATATTTTTATCCAATRAAAAAATCGCAACGGATTACTGGGTTGTACCGACTCAAGCAGCTGCTGTAAACAAAGTTAGTTAGATAAATGCAATGTTTTTGAAATGAACTTAGTGTGTGGAACACCCCTATACTCTCTATAGTGACTCTTTGAACCAAATTTATTTTTCTGCTGAGCTGAAAAAACCTCTCTTTTTTTTGATTGGTTTTAAATAAGTGTATAAAATATATATGTATATAATATATATAAATTTATGTTGTATATGTTTACAATAACAACTCAATTATAGTAAGGTGTTAAAAAGTACCGTTAGCTGGTCAAAACTCTCAAAATATTAAAGACAAAACGGAAAAAAGTATTTGGTGTAAATTGCCTGAAATCTCCAAAAGGATTCAACTTTTTTCGCGCCTTATTTAAAAAATAACGGAAACARTTGAATTTATGCTTTACCGTTAAATGCTTTACAAAAGAAATGAATGCAATTTTTCAATTAATTTCGTTAGCTGCTGTGGAGCAAATGTAAAAAAAATTAAAAACAGAATAACAAAAACAACAACATGTTGGAGGACAGCGTTGCATGCAAAAACTGGATAAGCATRCTGATAACGGAAATTAATTTGCTATTTAGCAAAAACCCGCAAGTGTAGAGCGCATATTTACTCAGCGGTTTATGCTTGCTACACGCACACACACACACAACACACACCTATTTTGCTGCAAACTTAATTTTTATACCCTAAGAAGCGTATATTAAAGGCTGGCATGAGCTATGTATATACGGAGATTCTATAAAGTATATATTATACTTATATATATATATGTATATATGAATAGATATATATAAATGAACAGCGTGGCAAGCTGAGTCGATTTTGACATGCTTGTCTGTTCTTCTAGACTTTCTGAGATATCGCTCAGAAATTTTGCACACGACGTTTTCTCTCCAGAAAGCAGCTCATATGTCGGAATCACTAAAATCGTGTCACTATAGCATACAGCTGCCATACAAACTGATGGATCAAATGCAAGTCTTTGTATGGAAAACTTTTTTTATTTGACAAGATATCTTCACGAAATTTTGCCCKGGTTTTTGGTCCAGTCAGCGGTATAATCTCCGAACAAATTGTTCAGATCGGATTACTATAGCATATAGCTGCCATACAAACTGATCGATTAAAATCAAGATAAAGACATTTTTATACCCTTTTAAGCGCCCGTGAAGGGTATTATAGCTTTTTTGTTGTTACTTTGTGGTAATGGATGGTTAAAAGATATATACATACATATGCATATTATCTTTGTGTTAGTGCGTGCGTTGGATCTCGCCTGCATTTGACCGCAAAACGCACATTCCAATTATACGCAATTGCGTTTAACTCGTTCGAGTGTATAATGTACCGTTATAGCATTGCACGATTGCGTACTAACGCGGTTTTAACTCTAGCATTCATTGAATTACTCACACAGTCATTGCATTAATGGATTCGATTTCTTACACGCATTGAGAACAATTAGATTTTTCTTTGTATTTTAATTTATTTCCCTTTATTTCATTTTATTTATTTTTTTACTTTTTCATTACCTTTTAATTGCATTTATTTATTTAATTTATTCTACTTTTATTTCGCTTGGATTACAACACGCACTCGTTTGATTTCAATTCAGTTTTTGCTACGCACTTAATGTCAGAGTTGTATTTGTGGCCCGCTTGCTGCAGCTTAAGCGCCTAAAAGTATGTAATTTTAGTTAGGTTT